GATAGTCTGGTGTGGTGATGTGCCTCTGGCAAGTGTGATTTTCTGTGTTAAAATTAATAAGAATTGAGTCATAAAAGAGCAACTTAAATACATATTTGCTAATTATATTGATTCTTTCTTTTCAATAATATTTCTCACCTATTAATTATGTTTTTACAGGTAAAAGGCGGGAAAATTACAAATGATAAAAAGCCTGTTGACGCGACTCCACACAGAGAAAAGTTCCATGTGGCATCATGTTGCATAGTACAAATGCCAGAGAATTGGCGCTAACTAGCGCCAGAATGGCGCAGACCCGCGCCGGATTGCGAACTTTGCAGCGGAGAATTTTGAGTGGCGCTCAGTGGCATCAAAGTGGCGCCAACTGGCGCCACATTCATCACCAATTAATGGCGCACAATGGCGCCCACAAGCAAGCAAAGATGGCGCCAAAGGGCGCCCAAAATCAAGGAAGAATGGCGCCACTAGGCGCCAAAATTAAAGGAGGTGGCGCCAACTGGCGCCGATCCACGTAGAAGCAGGTCCGACTTTTCACAATTGGACAGTAACTCCGCGGCGAAGTGGCGTCGTACCGGCGACAACTGGCGCCGGGTTGCGGGAAAATATACTATGTTGTTCTGGGGGTATTTTTGGAAGGAAGAAAAGAGGATTATAAATAGGACCCATATGACATAATTAGGATTCAGACCTATTCTTCTGAAGAGAGACGACGGCAAAGCTCTGAGAGGATTCCTGAGATCAAGTTCTTCTTCTCTTTTCTCTTTAATTTTATGCTTTTGAATATTGGATTATTTTTAGCCATGATTATGTTTGGCTAATTTACTTTTTATTGTAGTTAGGGTCACAAACCCTATGTGAACCCTTGTTACGACGGATTAGTTTATAATTCTTCGTTTATTTAAATTTTCTTTATTTCTATCCTGTGCGTATTTATATTCTCTTTATTAGAATTGATCAATCTGATAGTTGAGAATAGTTTGAGGGTTAGAACCCTAGATAGGAATATTGGGGTTTTCATCCTGAAAGGGGGTAGGATAACGGTTCGTATGCATGCTAGGGATAGATGTGTATTGAATTGCGGATGACTAAATTATTGAGTTCATTGCTTAATTTTCATGAGGGGTTGCTAAGGGATTAGGATTTCAATTGAGATTAAAGGGTTAAATTGCCATGGGATTGGGATTTAACTAATTATTTTAGATAATAATTTATTCGAGTAATTTTATAAATGAATATTGTAAATTAATCCAAAGTAAGAAGTGGGGATCATAAGGTGAGTGCGCTCTAGCTACAATGCTTTTCTCATATTTTCACAAATCAATTCTTATTTTATTGTTCTTTTTCTCAATATAAAAATTACAAAACTAAGTCTTTATTTCAGTTCTCAATTTCAAACCAATTGACAATATTTCTCAAAACCATGTGAACACTTCCATTCTTGAAAGGAACAATTAATTGATATACGATCACAATCCCTGTGGAGACGATACTTTACTTATCATTATATTACTTGTGCGATCGGTACACTTGCCGGTGAGTATCAAGTTTTTGGCGCCGTTGCCGGGGATTGGCGTTTCTTATATCAATTAATTTTGATTTTAAGATTGGATTTTATTTTTTTTATTTTATTTTATTTTATTTTTAAATTTTTGTGATATTTGGAACAAGTGCTACTAATCTCTTTTCTAAGTTGTATGCGAGGTAAAGAGCCCGAGTTTTCACTTGATTTGGAGATCACAAAAACAGAGAAGAAAAACAGAAAATTTTCTCGGAAGAAGCTTGCATTCAACGAGTTAAATATTCTGTCAGAAGAAGAAGATAAAATGGCGGACAACAATGATGCTGACAATCCGCTCATGGACACCATTCTTACTCCATTATTCAACAGGCCCAATGCGAGTATTGTTCAGCCAAATGTTGCCAACAATTGGGAGCTCAAGTCCTCTCATATCAATTTGGTAGAGAGAGCCCAGTTTGGAGGAGAGGAGCGTAGCGATCCTCACCGATTCATTGACAGATTCTTGAGGATCTGTGACTCAATCAAACATCCTCAGGTGTCTAATGATGCAATCCGGTTAAGGTTGTTCCCTTTTGCTCTTAAGGGAAAGGCTCTTAGTTGGTTGGAAAGACAGCCTGCAGCAAGCATTCCAACCTGGGATGATTTATCACAGAAGTTCTTTGCTCAGTTCTTCTCGATGGAGAAGTACAACCAGATGGTGAATGATATCACCAACTTCACTCAATCTGAGGGTGAATCAATGTGTGAAGCATGGAACCGGTTCAAGGATCTGATGAGAAGATGTCCTCAGTATAACTTGACTGCTGGTAATCAGGTTAGAATTTTTTTCAATGGTTGCAAACCTGAGATTCGGATGGTGTTGAATGGTGCAGCAGGACGCACTATTAGAACTTTGAGAGCAAATGAGACTCTTGAGTTGATTGAGAGGATGGCTGCCAACGAAAACCAAGTGTTTTCATCCAAGCCTAAGAGAGGCATCCTTCAACTGGAAGGTGATGATGCAGTGCTGGCTGAAAACAGTTTGCTATAATCAGCAGGTAGCAAACCTGACCTCAAGGCTTGATAAGATGCAGTTGGCTGGTGTTCAGACAAAAACTGCTGCAGTAGTTTGTGAGTACTGCCAGGACAATCATGAATCTAATGAATGTCCTACCTTAATGGCTTCTGATCCTCCTCAACAAGTACATGTTAATGGTGTTTGGTATGATCAGAGACCTCAGCCACAAAACATCTCGAGGACTCAGAATTATCCTTCTGGAGGCAATAATTTTCAGAGGAGAGTACAAGGAACTGGACTTGATTTCAAGTCTAATAATTATTTGCAGCCTCCACCAATTCCAGCTAAGGAACCTTCTGATTTGGAGAGGTTAGTTGGACAAATGGCTCAACACTCCAATGCCTTCATGGAAGAGACTAGGGCCAATACTAAAAACATGAGTGCTTCTATCAGGAATTTGGAGAATCAAATTGGTCAACTGGCTAAGCAAGTTGCTGATAGAACTTCAGGCACTTTCCCTAGTAACACAGTTACAAATCCCAAGGAGGATTGTATGTTTGTCACAACTAGAAGTGGAAAAGTGGTAGCAGCTCCAGAAAAGCCGAGAATAAATGTGGAAGCTGAAAATAAGCTAAAGGAGGTTAAGGAGCCAGAAAAAGAAATTGAAAAACCTGCTGAAATGGAGAAGTCAGTTGAAAAGAAGAAGTTTAAGCTGAGTCCTGAATATGTGAGATCTATGGCACCTTATCCTGACAGATTCAAGAAGGAGGATCAGAAGCAACAATATGGAAGGTTTGTGGATATATTCAAGAAATTGCATATCAATATCCCTTTTGCTGAAGCTCTGGCTTGCATGCCCAATTATGCTAATTTCATGAAGGACTTGTTATCAAGAAAGCATAAGTTGCAAGAGTGCCAAACAGTAACACTCACTGAGGAGTGTAGTGCCATAATACAGAAGAAGTTTCCACCTAAGCTTAGTGATCCAGGGAGTTTCAATATTCAAATTGAAATTGGCAACACCGAAATTGGCAGGGCATTATGTGATCTTGGGACTAGCATTAATTTGATGCCCCTTTCTGTTTGTCATTCCTTGGGGATCACCGAGTTGAAGCCTACTTTGGCATCTCTTCAACTTGCTGATAAGTCTGTAAGAAAGCCTAGTGGAATAATAGAAGATGTTCTTGTGAAGGTGGACAAGTTCATCTTCCCTGCTGATTTTGTGGTGTTAGACATGGAAGGGGGAGCTGAAATGCCCCTTTTGCTGGGTAGACCTTTCTTAGCTACATCTCGTGCACTGATTGATGTTGAAAGCGGGAAGCTCGAGCTAAGAATGAATGATGAAAATGTTACTATTCACGTCTTCGATTCTCTAAAACAGTCTTCTCACAAAGACGATTGTTTTAGTTTTGAAGTCGTAAAGGAAGAAAAAGATGTAGCGGTTGAGGTTCCTGAAAAAGCAGATGATTATAAAGAAGATGGAACCTCAAAAGTGGAATTGAAGGATCTTCCTCAAACTCTAAAAGATGATGTCAAAGAGGTAAGGACGCTTCAAAGGAGGCGTAATTCTACAAAGAAGAAGGCAATGAGAAAGGAAGTGGTGAAACTCTTTGATACGAGTTGGAAGAGACACCAGGAGCTGAAGTTTGACAAGAGACACAGAGATTCTATCTCTCGGAAATGTTCTTTTATCGCGATGAATCATGCTTCACATTCAGGAGTCCAATCAAAATTGGTTTGCTTGCGCAATAGTTTGAACATGGGTAATGATTTTTAGGCTGATGCTGACAAGAATCGAGTTAGAGCTGTTATCCGTTTAGTTAATTATTGTAATTCCTTGATATTTCGAGTGCTAGCCATGTAGAGGACTGCTCTGCATTTGTCAGGATTTGCCTCTATGCCTTTGTGTCTCAACATGAATCCTAAAAATTTGCTTGTGAGGACTCCAAATGCTCATTTGGCTGGATTGAGTCATAATTTATACTTGTGCAACTGTTGAAACACATGTTCTAAGTCGTGAGGGTGTTGTGGGATTGTCGTGGTTTTGACAATCATGTCATCAATGTAAACTTCACGTAGTTGACTAATCTGCTGGCTGAAGACCTTATTCATCATACGTTGGTACGTTGCGCCTGCATTTTTAAGACCAAATGGCATCATGTTATAACAATAGGTGGCCTTTATGGTAATAAAAGCAGTGGCTTCCTCATCGTGTTTGAACATGGGGATTTGGTTATACCCTGAATACGCATCCATAAAAGAAAGAATTTGATATCCAGATGGATTGTCCACCAATTTGTCAATGGTAGGGAGAGGGTAAAAATCCTTCGGACAGTGCTTATTGGGGTCTGTGTAGTCAGTACACATGCGTCATTTGCCATTGGCTTTTTTGACCAACGCGAAATTTGAAAGCCAAGTGGAATACGTGATTTCTCTAATAATCTCAGCATCGAGCAGCTTTGTTACCTTAATATCTACTACCCGCTATTTTTCAGGAGAAATCTTACACTTCTTCTGCGCGATTGGTTTTGCTTTAGGATCAAGAGTAAGATGGTGGCATATTACATCAGGATCCACTCTTAGAATGTCAGCGGTTGTCCAAGCAAAAAGATCTTTGTTTTTTGATAATACCGCTATCAATTCCTTTTTCTCAGTGTCTGGTAGATGACGACCAATTTTGGTAACGTTTTCAGGTAATGGACCAAGTTGAAGATCCTCTAATTCACCATCAGGCTGCGGTCGCACATCACGCAAATCTTCGCGTATATCTAAGTTGGTCATGTTGATTGACGTATTTCCCTTCTCTGCACGATGAGTCGTTGATTTCACTCGTAGGCTGGTGTTATAACAACTACGTGCTTCTTTCTGATCGCCTCTGATAGCAACAATAGCGCCAGTGGAGTCTCGAAATTCATTCAAAAGATGAGGCATAGAAATGATTACCTTTAAAGCAACAATAGTTGGACGTCCTAAAATGACATTATATGCAGACGCGTATTCAATAACGTAAAAATGTACTTTAATAGTACGAGCCAAAGGCATGACCTCAAAGGTTACCCATATTTCTATGGTACCTTTCGGTTGTACACATTCACCGGTAAATCCAATGAAATCTGTACAGCCTGGGATGTTCATTGCGCGGAAGGCATCCCAGAAGAGTATGTCAGCAGAACTGCCGTTATCAATCATAACACGTTTTACCTGGAGATTGGCCAAACAAGCAGAAATTACTAATGGATCATCGTGGTATGGGATGATGTCTCCATAATCATCATCCTCAAAAGTTATGGATTGACGCTTGGCATGGGATGTAGATGGCTGTTTATGATCGTGAACTGTTATGACTGATTTTAAATGTCGCTTTGGTTGCGAGCTAGTGGCCCCTCCTCCGGCAGTTCCTCCGACGATAGTGGCTAATACTCCAGCAGCATTATTGGGCAGTTGTTGTTGTTGCGTCGCTTGTGGTCTATCCCGTGTTGGTATTCCTTCATGTCTATTAGTGCGGTCATAACGTGCGTTCCTATCATTATTATTTTTGGCCTGATTATAATCTCTTTTGGGATATGCCTTCTATCGGTCAGGATTCTAATCATTATCAGCACTTCTATCGCGCCTTCTTTGAGCCTCAAACTCTCTGCAAGTAGAAATGAATTCTTGAAGTTTTCCTGCTCTGATGAGTATCTCAATGGTGTTCTTCATATCAAAGCATTCATCTGTGGTATGACCGGTATCATTATGAAATTCACAAAACTTTGTCTCATCGCACTGGCCCCCCTTTTTCAGTGGTGGGGGCTTAGCAACGCGAACATAACCAGTTTGGAAGACTTCCTTAAGGATTCGCCTTCGAGATGTGTTCAAAGGAGTATAGTTATCAAACTTGTCCCACATTCTTTTTTCACGTAACCGTCTTTGAAATTTTTTCTGAAAGTCTTTTTAAAAATTGTCTACTTCTGCTTTCATGCCGGAAGTTTCCCGAGATCATTTATAATCTTCAAGGTTATTGAACTTTTTGACTCGCGCTCTTAGTTCTTCTATGGTGCGTGGGCGATGTTTTGCCAACGACATAGAGAAAGGGCCTTCAAGGAATCCTTCAATGATGAGATGTAAGGAGACTTATGAATCTAGATCTTTTACTAAGAGCGCTTCATAAAAAAACCTATCAAGGTAATCGCGCAGAGTTTCATATGCTTTCTGTCATACTGTTTTCAAGGCATGGATGGATTTGTACTGCGCTTTGCTAGTTGCGAACTATATGAGGAATTGATTAGTGATATCTCCCCAACTTTGAACTGAATTAGTTGTAAAGCGGAATACCATCTAAGTGCAATTTCTTTCAGCGTGGTTGGGAATAGTCTACAAGCTACCAGATCAGCAACATCTTGTTCCATCATGTTTGTTTGGAATTGCTCTAGGTGTTCTTGCGGATCTCCCTTGTCGTTATACTTTTCAATTGTTATTTTCACATCCCTTGGAATGGGGACACTCATGACGCATGGGGTAAAGGGATGTAAGACACGTGACACTGTCTTAGAATTTTCCTGGGAATTTTCAGGAGTTTCTATTTCTCCTTCCCCTTTCTTGCTCTGACCAGAGGGTTCAGGATCTTGTTTCGAATATTGATGTCCTAGCTCACTTTCACCCGGATTTTCAAGCTCTCTCTCATTTTCTTTCTCAGGTTCTTTCTCTTTTTCTTTTCCTTTTTCCTGATTTTTTTCTCTAGCTTTCTGTGATTTTTTTAATCAAGCTAAATCTCGATTTTGCTGAGCAATTTTTGTGTTCTGTTGAGTAATAAGTTTCAACAAGTGTTGGGTCATCGGTGGATTTTTGTGATGCACGAAAATTGGTGCAACTGATGAAGATTACTTTTCCCGGGAGGCTAGTGTTTCTTTCTGCTTCCCTTTGGAACCATTCTGGGATTTGCTTCTGGTATCAACCATGCTTTTAGATTTGTGGATGAACAGGTTCTAAGAGATGTTTCCCACAGACGGCGCCAATGATCGAGTCAGTACAATATGGGCAGGCCAATATGTATCGGGCCTAATCGCACACGGTTGATGTGAGAAGAATTTGGGTTGGGTTATCTATTTTCTGGGCTATTGATAGTTGTTGATGGTACGATGGGTATGATTCTCCTTTGGCGCGATGATCCAGACTGGGGGGTACCTGCAATGACACTCTGACGCTCAAGTCAGTATCAAAGTCAGGCTTATGTGGTATTCTTACTGAATTAGATTATCATACCTGGGTTTGTACCCTTTGCTTATATAGTGAATCAAATACCGCCTTTCATAGACGGTGTATCTTCTGATTGGTTGTAGAAGGGCTGCAGGTTCAACTGGTGTTGCTCTGGCCCTATCCCATTATATCAGGCTATCTTGATAGAGTAGTGGCAAGCTGATGTTGTCACTTGTGTATTGGTTCTATAGCGCGGTGGCTTTTTATCTATTTGATCACTTCTTTCATTATGAAGTTATGTTATGGACGGTTTGGGCGCGATGAGGCCATCGCGCCTTTAACTTCTTATGCGCGATATGGATATTGCTCATTATTTGGGCCCTTAACCCTTTACGGGCCTATTGTGTTTGGGCTTTAACCTTTGGTGGGCCTACTATATTTTATCCAGATATAAGTTCAATGTGTTTATAATCGATCTGTGAAATAATAACTCATATTTAATTCAGCTATTTAGAGATAGTTTATTAATAACTTTAATAAACTCAATTTAACTTTATTATCTGCATATACATAAATAAATTAATGGATAGATAGATAGAAAGATAGATTGTTAAATAGATAGACAAAATGAGAGATAGGTAGATTGTGGTAAATTAAATTGGCATAATTTCTTAATTTTTATTAGCGCTATCCTTAGTTTAATTTGCTCTTCTTTATTATTTTTACTTAAAAGCATTATTTGTACCGCAAAAAAAATAAAAATTACCAACAAGTGCTTTCGGAATACTGTTTTAAGTATATCCGAAAAAAGGGAATACTGATTAAAGAAAACAAATAAAAAACTATTAAAGAATTAAAAAAAATATTTATCAAATAGAAATTATAAAAAACTGATATTTACTTCCTTATTTAATCACAAATATTTAATGTGGGACAGTAAATTCTCCTAAATCAATATTCTTAAGGAATATAATTTGTTAGTGAAACCATACAAATATTTATAATAGAAATTATATATGATTATTAATTTACTACTATAATCTTAAAAGAGAGTGGATGATGACCTTACCTTAGAGTGTGGTAGTAGTTCATGTTACTTCGGAATATCTATGAGATAGGAGGCTCATCTTAAAATGACAGCCCAAAAATGTTGTTTAACTTTCAAAGGGAAGTTTGGTGGAAAGCTCTAGAAATTCCAAAAACTAATGAAAGATATTATGGATGGCTAAGGCTTAGTTATTAGCCATTTACGGATCATTGGAAGGTGATTTTTTATGTTCTAAATTTCTCTCTTTTAAATGAAAAAGAATTTTGTTCTAAAAGTTCTTGAGAAAAAAATAACATGTAATCCTAAAATATTGCAGACAATTTTACTGCTTAAACTAATTTATATAGCCTCAATGTTTGATTTTTGTACCAACAATAAAGCAAAGGAAATTAGCGAAGGTCATCCTCCTGATTTCCCATCTTCACGACTCCAAAATCACCACCTCGGTAAGAAGAGAAAAAACTTTTGTGTGGAGTAACGTGGAAGGAGGCACCGGAGTCAACAATCCAGGTGCAGTCATCATATGCAACATTCAAATAATTATCCTCACCTAGAAGGAATATATCGGCATCCGGGTTGGCAGCCACCGCAGTGGTGCTCTTGTCTTCCCTTTTCTTGAGAATAATCTGATCCGGCTTTACGAGCCATTCTTCTCGTCATTCTTCAAGGTCCAGCAGTCTGGCTTCTTATGACATGTCTTTCCACAGTAAAAGCACTTCAACTCATATCTCGGCTTTGACCGACCTCTGGACTTTTCTCGCCTGTCACGACCTCGACCTCAGCTTTTGCTTCTATCCCGGAAGTCGGATTTTCCTTTGTTCTCAGCAACGTTGGCCTCATATGTGCTTGAAACACCTCATTCTCTTTTCCTAGCTTCTTCGCCCAGGAGGTTGTCTGTCACGACATCCATCTTCAATTTTCCATCTATAGTCAAATTATTCAAAGTCACCACCAGAGCATCCCAGCTTTCTGGCAGCGAGCTCAACAGCAGCAAGGCCTGCATCTCGTCATCAATTTTCATCTCAGTCTTTGAAAGCTGATTCACAATACCTTTGTAAGTGTTGAGGTGTTTAATCATACTCATGTCGTCCTTGTATTCAATCTTCACAAGTTGGCGAACCAGGTATGCTTTGTTCCTGGGAGTTTTCTTCTGAATCATGGACTCCAACTTCATCCACAACTCGTACGCGTTCGTGAACTCGGACACGTGCTCAAAGAGGCTTTTATCAATATATTTTTTTATTGTAGCTACCGCCTTACGACTCTAAATCTCTCACTCTTTATCGGTTTTTCCTGCCGGTCTCTGCATCATCGATCTCCAATAGGTGCAATTGTCTGCGGTCAGCTTGAACATATCTCCATCATGGGTTATGCCACTGGTCTACATCTCGTCTCCCTCAGAACCCGTCGAACTCGGGCTCTGATACCACTGTTGGGAACTCGGTTCCCTCAAACTCAGCTTAGCAGCCTTTTGCAGAAGTCACTCAATGAGATCCTGGATCTCGGATCTCGGCAATTACCTCGGCCTGAACTTCACCATGTCGGGAAGCGCAGCGGAAAATCAAAAACACAAATAGGAGAGAGAGAGAAAGAGAACACAAATAGATTTTAACGTAGGAAAACCTTCTCCAACGAAGAAGTAAAAACCCACGGGACCTAGTCCAGATCAAACGTCCACTATGAAAATAATGGATACAAAGAATCAAAAAACACCAATGTGGTGGTTAACACAACCTTTCCAACAATGGTGATAATCAAACTATCCTAGAGATGTTTCACTCAAACTCTCTCTAGGGATCTCTCAAATAATTTTCTCTCAAATTTTTCTCTCTAACCTAGCCTCCTCCCACAACTAATGAATATATAGAGGAGGTGAGATCTAGGGTTTAAGGTTTAGGGTTTTTGGAAAAACCCCTCAATGGGCTTGGGCTTAGCATTGAAGGAGGAAGTCCAACAAGAAAACCCATGGCAAGCTTATCTTCACTGTCAACAATACGCAACACACGAATAATTGGCCCAGTAAGTTTCACAACATCAACACATTGTTTCCAAATATTAGAATCTAAGTGGCCTATTTGATTCTTGTTTCAAAAAATAGCTTTATAATTTTAAAAACAAAAAATAAAAGAACTTGTTTTATAGTGATTATTCTTAAAATTGATTTTAAAAAGCATGCCTATTTTTTTAGTTTTTAGAACTAAAATTCTAAAACATCTAAAAGCTATTTTTGTTATCTTTCCTGAGTTTTAACTCCCTAAACAAAGAGAAACATAAAGAACAAGTTTCTCATTAATGAAAATCTTATAATTATGTAAAAATATAAAACAGAAGGAAAAAACTTGTGTCTCCTTCTACAAGCCTGATAGTGAATAGCACTGTTGGTTCCTTAAAGAACTTCTCATAGTGACTTATGACGTCAAACTCCAAATCTCCAAATCCAAGCCTTAGAATGTCACATTTTTATGTAGGACTTGTCCTTCTAGATGGTGAGGAAGAGGAGGAATTTCATGAGGTTTTAGAAGATGAAAAAGAGAATATGGAGTAAAAAAGAAGGCTGCTTTGTGACACAATTCCAAAGGAGAAGAAGTTGGTAAATTCAGTTTTGATGTATTGGATAAATTATTCACAACTAATAAAATAGAAATCATAAGATGAAGTTAATAAA